TATCACAGAGAACTGTGCTTTATAATGGTGAAAGATATCCGGTTCAAGTCCAGCAGGAGACAAACCCAACCACAGGGATTCACAAGCTGGTGTACTCCTAGTGCCAGACCCAGGCCAGGAAAAATGCGAGGGTTGAATCAGGAAGGGCATCTGGCCTAAAATCGGTGCCAAATCAAACATGTGGATCCATCCGTTGTGGTGACCTCTTGGGAAATAAGGGAGCGGCCTACTGTGCTTCTGTAAGGTTCAGAGGAGTGTGGATTTGTTGCTTTGTGGATATAGGCTTTTGCTAAAGATCTATTAAGCAACCAGGACAGAAATATAAGTGATAATTTATGTTCAGTGGTATCATTACATGGCTGTAATACGAGAGCGCTGGCCCGCCTATTCTAAGTTGACCGCTATGGTCTGTGCACTGGAGAGTTTTTCTATAACAGTTAAGATTACCTACTGCTAGAATAAAGTACCAGGAAAGTGTTCAGACTTTATATCATTTTACGTGTTCAGCTGAAATCAGTCCACTTATGTCCATTATTCAAGGTTGAGCTAAATCATTCATCACTGAATATAAATGAGGTTATGATATAATATGATGCTTCGCTCCCAGGGTGCCTCCCTCCTCATCCTGTGTGTGTCGAGGCGCACAAACGTAGCCCCGCTGTTCTGTCTCAGCCAGCACACAATTAACAATTAGCGTCATAGCAGGTGGACAGTGCTACATGAAATGAGCACAGCATTACATTGTACCAAATCCCTGACCCATTGCTGCTGCTGGCTCAAACAACTTTTCTAGCTAAAACCCTGCAATCATCACTCGAAACCACATGTTTTTCGCTCAATTTACAAAAAAACACAATCACAAAAACATGTCTAAGTGACACAATGAGTGTATTTTATCTAGAGTATGTGTTTCTATTTTAGAGCTGCTACATGTGTAAATAAATGAAAACATGTTACTCTGTCTCACTTCCACGGCTTGTCTTTTATCCTGTCTCCCTCCCCTCATCCCCAAACAGTCATGGCAGATGGCTGGCCCTCTCTAAGCTTGGGTGTTGCTAATTCTTTCCTGTTTAAAATGAGTTTTTCCTTCCCACTGTCTCCAAGTGTTTGCTTATACAGTGGTGCCTGATTGTATTAGTATAGAGCTTTTTACACTAATATATAAATATAGAGCAACTTGAGGTGACTGTTGTTGTGATTTGGTGCTACATTAATAACATTTAATTGAATTGAACTGATCATGATTTAAGAAAAACCTTTGTTTCATAGCCCTGTATCTGTTAAAACAGACTGCTGGCCAAGGTCAGGCAGCTAGCTAGCACCAGGAATGTCCTGGGCATTGGTTACAGTGTATTTTGGCTAGCTCAGCTGCCAATAAATGCTCTAAGCCTGTTATCATCTGTTAACTTAGCAAAAAGACTGATTGTCTCTCTTTTTTTATTTTACTATTCTGATCTACCTCTATACTAGAGGAGTCAAAAACTGCATCAGGTGAAAAAAAAATGAAAAAAAGATGAATCTCTAGAGTTTCTACTGGTTTCTCTGTTTCTCATATCTAACTCTCTCGAGGACTGGAGAGACTGCTGTCAGCATCCAAGACAGATAACTGAGATGGAAACTATTCATACCAAATTATTAGAGGCAACACACCTCATTCCATCTTTATAAGATTGGAATATGGTCTAAATAAAATGCCTCCTACATTGAGTGCCAAGCTTTTGCCATTTGAAAAAGCACAGCGGCTTGTTATTAACAGAATGCCACTTACATTGTATTTCATATAAATGCCTTAATTTCTTATTACTTTAGTGAAGGCAGTCTGGAATTCAGTGCAAACTGTGTCTGCAATAAATAGCTGAGGAAACTCGTGAATTTTATGGGTTTTCCTGGTCATAAAATGTCTTGACTGTGCATTTTAGGACAGAAAGTTTTATCAGTTTTTCCCCCCTCAACTTAATCAAGATAAATGGCAAAGAGTAATGGAGCCACTGGAGCTACTTCAGCGACATATACCATTTCCAATACTGGCCACTGTAATCTCTGTGTTGACTGCTCAGCTGAGTATACCTGCCAAACTTGGAACTGTATTTCAAACACTGCAGCCCATTTGGATATAATGGAACAGAAAAGTAATAAAAGACAAAACAAGGATAACCCCCCCCCCCACACACACACACACACACACACACACACACACACACAAAATGCAATCACGAGTCATTACAATAATTACAAAGTGAATAAACAATTGTTCCTGTGATCCAAGAAACTGGAAATATCTTGTATCACCTGTCATGTATCACCATGACAACCATATTTTCTGAATCAATTATCACCACATATATATATAAACCACCTGAAGCTTCTTCATTTTTGATATACTGTAAGTGCACCACAAATGTGCTGTATAAAGTGAAATACAATGTGCTATAAAAAGAGCTGTTTTAACATCATCTGTAACCATGGTAAACTGGTTTGCATCATCATCATCATCCCCACTGTAGAGATCATTCTGGATGATGTGACCTCCAACTCTAACCATAGTCAGGTGTCCACACATTCCTTCTGGCTGTGACCATTTTGACATCTGCAGGCTCTGTGTTGGCCTCAGGCTTGTGGATATGATAAAATCAGGCAGCCGATTGTTCACTGTCACATCACATTGTTTAAATGCTCTGCTAACCTACTGCTGCAACTGTTACATCAGTGCTTACTCTACGATCCATGCACCCACCTCAGCTTCACCTTAGGCTTTTACTATTAATTATATATTTCCCTCTATTGGTGTACTGTAGGCTATGGAGCTTCCAGAATATATCCAGGCATTAATATAGTACTTAACCTTTGTGTCAGGAGCAGTTCTGACAAAAAGGTTGATACTTTAAAGCTTTTCATTGCTGTCAGGGTTGATTTACAGTAGATGGATATTAGAATCCAAATTTAAATGTATACTCCGCATATGCTAGCAGGCTTTTAAAGTCACCATAGAGTCACATGTCAGATCTTATAAACCAGCTCTTTTCAGGGTTAATGTGAGGATACATCCTCCACAGCAGGTCTGTGGGACTAGAATTGGACTCATTAATGTCCCAACGAGCACTTGAGATGTTACTAAAGGTCCTGAAGCTGGTATGTAGAGAAAGAGGTGCCTGGGTTCGTTGTGTGCTTTTGTTTCAAAGTTAGTTCAGAAATTGATGAAAAACATAATAGTGGCAGTAGCAACATAAGGAGAAGTGATAAAAGCTCTGTCCAATTTTAAGATCAACACCTATACAGATATTTGGTGATTTAACAATCAAATATTCTGATATCTGATAACAGCCAATGTTGTTTTCTTTCAGACACATAAACCAAATAATCGAATTTGCCTTATATTTGATATCTACAGTTATTTATTTGCTTGTTATTAACTTATTCCCTCTCTGCCAGACTCTGCTTGTATCATCTTGTTGTTATGTTTGTGTGTTGTCAACAGGGAAGTTGCAGAGTACCCTCTGTTGGACAAATTATCCAGTATCAACACTCATAACATGAATGTTATGAGCTAATATCAGCTGAACATATCAGCCTGCTGATAAATTGGTCAGGCTCTAATAAAGCTGAGAAAATCTCTACCGCTGATTCTCTATTGCTAATTTTAAAGGTTAAATCCTCCTCGCACAGTAGCTAGTGTTTTTAAGATTGCAGATCGTTTTTCTTCACTGTTTACCGGCACGCCAATAAAACCTGCTTAAATGTGGTTGGTTGGTAGCGCTAAGATATAAGCAAACACAAAAGAAAAGTTTCAGGCACTAACAATCTTGTCCCCTGGCCACAGATGCTCCATATCTACTGCAGATGTATTTTTATTGAAATAATCACGGAATAATCTGTAACTATAACAAGGGCTCACTATAACTAGGGCACACTTCAGCAGGGATGCTTTGACTGAAAACACCTTCATGCAGATAGTGTCGTGTGCAGCAAAATAATTGCAGTCCACTATCATTAAGCCACTCTCAATAAAGCCCCATTAACTTAACAGGAGTACATTATCCTAGTTCGTCCAAATTAAAAGCAAATTCAAACTTGATGTGAACCAGAAACAAAAGCAACGCCCCCCCCCCAAAGTTAAAAAAAAAAAAACTGTTTATATAACCTGAATCCACATAGCATTCTGAAAAGCTCTTTGGAGGTGGTGTCTGTCGTTAAAGGGGTGAAAAAGTTGCTGTCTGACCGTTTATGTGTACAGCAAGGCCACTGACAATTTCATTCAATAACACACTGGGGAGCAGTTAGTGGTCTTAATGGGGAGTTAGTTATCTCAGAGTGCAAGCAGAGACTAATAAAATCACTGAAGGTCTCCATCTCAACAGCTATTGTCACAGAGGAGCCGATTCAAAAAGGTGCATATCCCAAATTAATTTAAAATGCTGCCTGAATCTATATCACACCACTCTGCAAACCAAAAGCACACTACCATCCCTGTGCTTAGCTTATAAGCATTTTTTCAAAAGAGTGACACTTACAGGATATCTGCAGCAACTAAGAAATAATATGCAAATTGTCAGCATTTCAAAAAGAGCTGGAGAATAACATCAAACAAAAAGACTGTGAAGCACAGCTTACACAACACAGGGACCCTCATATCTCTGCTGTACAATTAATATAAAAGAATATCTCCCATGCACCTAAAATTACTTAATAACCTTGTAGATTTGATTCACTGAAAAGCCCGCTTTATCTTCTCGTGATAATGTCCTGTGTCTCTTCTTATGAAAAGGGTCAGTTATCTAAATAGCTTATTATTCATAGCAATTGACATGCGAGGATTAAAAGAACTTTTGTGCTTCTGCAGAACACTAATTAAAACACCACTGTGGGATAAGAACTGTAAAATTAAAATTTTATCTCAGGCGGTATTTTGTTAGACACACTTTGTGCTCGAGACTGCAAAAGACACCATACAAACACGAGTGCGTGCTCAAGACACAAAGCAAAAGGGTAAAAGAAACACTTACATTCGGTTGTTGGGGATTATCTTGTGTCCATCTTTGTACCATGTGACCAATGGTTGAGGAAACGAAGCGAGGGGAGGAGGGTTGATGAGGGCTGCTCGGCCCTGAGTCACCGTCTTTCTCTGCTCTTCGGCCAAGAAGTTACCCAGAACTTGAGGAAAAGAGAGAAGGATGAAGAGTATGAAGATCAACACCAATGCATCACAATACATTTACTGCACAATCAGATATGCCGGTGTTGGTGTTGTCCCTACATCATCATAAAACTGTTGATCTAGAATCAGTATTGGAACTGACCAATCACGCTGTCTTCACAGTCAGTTAGCATTAGCCAAGATGCTATCTAATGCTTTTTTAAACCATCACTGTTTCAATATTTGTAAGATTGTAAGAATTGAGCAAAGCTGAAGCTTGTTAAGTTTTAATTGTGCACAAAACAACATCTTCAATTGTTTTACTCAGTTTACTTTAAACCAGCGTGTGTGTCCGTGTATGCTGTGTGTACTTACAGGCCACCTGCACCTCCGTTCTCCTGTGTATTACTGCTCCCATCCTGTTCCTCACCATACACTGATACAGTCCAGCATCAGTCCTCTTCAGGGACGGCATAGACAACCTAAAGATGGACACATGGAGAGGAAGACTATAAGGGTAGGTTTTTCTTCTCAAAGCTGTAAATAAAAATAAAACTGGGAGTGATGTCTGGAGACCAACAAGACAGAAGGGAACGAAGGTGGAGGTCTGGTTGTCCATATGCGTGCACTCTTGTGTAATTCCCTTTCATGTCCTTGATCTCAGAAAATGGATTGGGCCTAAGGTTGTAAAAGTTTCCAGATAACAGAAGGCAGAGAGAGCATATGCACAGTTTGTGTACATGTATGTGTGTCTGTTTGCGTCTGTGTGCCGCGTATGAAAAGGTTTTTGATGTTTGCGAGGTCTTTTTTTTTCTGAGAAGGATTGTTAATGGGGTTTTAATGGACTGTGCTTCACTAATGGGAAGCTTGGCATAGGATCTAGGTTGGTACCATGCTGGACAAATACACACACACACACACACACACACACACACACACACACACACACATTCCGCACAAACCGGATAGACATAGCAAAACCGGACATCGCTTTGGGGCTCATTACGAATACCAGGACAGCCAAGTATTTAACTCCCAGGCTGTCAGTGCATGCTGCCAACATACACAAACCCGCAGACACAAATACACACATGTACATCAAAGACTCACAAACCCAACTCCATTTGAATCAGGAACGACACATTACACAGCAGCTCTGATCCTAAAACAGATTTTGATATTGGACACTTTCTACCACCAATCTATCTCCCTCTCTCTCTGGTCAGCTACATTTTCAACAGCCGTGTGCAGCGGAAACACCATGTGTTTTAAGTTCCAACAAGTTGTTAGATTTCTGTCATCTACCACTATACTTAGATACAGATATATATATAGACAATGCAGTAATTTCCTAGTCAGTTTCTCTGACAAGCTTAGCGTTAAATGTGATTGACTGATTCAAGAAATAAAAATCGATTTTGTTTTGTGTAATACTGTGATGAGAGACTGCACAAAAGAAGAAGGTAAATGTAGGACGGTAGTCATTTTACATTAAATCTGAAGTTCATCAGACCAGAAATTATTAATATTTATGTGTTTTCAACAGGTTTATATTATTATAAAACTATACAGCACGTAACTGAGACAAGTATTGGCTTGAGGGAAAAAACACATGCATTGTGAGAAATAAGTTTGTCAGCCAAGCATGTTATACAGTTTTGAAGACAATGCAGTAGCCTTGTCATAAGTGTCCCTGAAAACAAAGCAAACGCTGCTGCCTTCTTTTTTTTTGAGAGTCTAACTTGTCTTAGTGATGTTTTTATTCCAACTCACAATGTGCAAAAAGTGGCAGGCTACTGCCGTTGAACTGACAATGATAAAAGAAGCCGGAGCTGAAGCTTCCATTAATGTAAATCATTGTCACTTACTGTTCATCTGAATTCTCCACTGACCAGCGCTTTAAACTAAGATAAAGGATGAAGAAAAATAAAATATTCCAAAGAGGATTTTACTATGTGGAAGCCCAAAGCATGTTTCTGAGTTTATGTAAAACCAAGTGGATCTGTGAGACCCGTATTAATTGTAAATGTGACCAAAAATCACAGCAAAGCACTGCTATCGAGCACTGCTTGGTCCCGCTCCTGTAGCAACAGCATGCACAAAGCTGCAGGCCGTCCAATTTGCTGAAAATGGTTTATATATCAATGGCCGAAAGGTGCTATTGATATATAGCACATCAGGATCTAGTGAGGTTCAATATCTCATCCCACACTATATGTCTTCATTTAACTGAGAATAAAATATGTAAATGAGCATATATAAAGTTGCAAAGGTAGAACACTAAAATCAGGCTTAGCAGATGGCCACATCCTGACACACACACACACACACACACACACACGCACACACACTCATATTCACTGCAGCTTGCCAATTCAGCATAGCCTCACCAAACTAAAGTAGCCAGAACGCTGAGAGCAGTCCAGAGCCACACTGCACCTCCTGGCTCGAACAACGACTGCCTACAAAACTGCTGGCTCAACCTCTCCCTCCCTCAGTGTGTATGCATTCCCAAGATTCCCTCCATTTCTGAATGATGTGAAAAACAATTTTGTTTCACAGCTGCAGTTTTGCCGAGAGGAATTGCTTAGTTCTTACCAACCAACACACACAGGGACAGAGAGAGAGGGGGCACAGGAGGAGGAGGAGGAGAAGAAAAGGTACAGGGCAAAAAGCAAAGAAACAGCACAGACATATTGATTGGATCCCCTCCTCTTTATCCACACCATATACATATTTATGGTGCTAATGTAATTATTAATCTCACTTTGGCTCTGCTGTCCGAATGCTCTGACCTCTACACACACTCCATCTCTAACGGGAACAGCTCTTACTCTGCAGATGTTTGTATATGAAAGGAAGGGTATGAGAGAGACATATACACTTAAAGACAATGAGAAGATTCACGACAGAAAGTCTGACATAATAACTAGGCAGTGGGTGCTAACTGAC